TGGGTGGGGTGGGGCGGGGCAGGGCCGGCTGCTCCAGGGCTCAGAGGCCCCTCTCCTTCCGCACCTGGGCACAGAAGGGTACAGTCAATTTTGAAGGGAATTTCCTGGGCACCAGCAGCTCTTCTCAGACCACTGGGCTGAAGAGCTACCCAAACACCCACCCCAGATCCGAATGGAGCCCCCCAGACCTGAGCAGAGCCCATCAGCTCCAGCCTGGCCTCCCCGCCTCTGCCCCCACCTCAGGTGCTTGGCAGGGTGGGCAGTGGAGGGGCAGGTGCCAGCATCTCTGGCACAGCTGCCTGGTGGGCATGTGACAGGCCTGGGCCTTCTCCCCGCCTCATCCTGACAACCCCACCTGGAGGGAGCGAGCCCCCACCCTTCCCAGCGTTACATTCACAGTCACTCCCTCTCGCCCCCACCCCCCCTTCAGTCATTGCTGTGCGCGTGAAGGAAGAGCATGTGGATGTGGCCTCGCCTGACAAGGCCCCAAGTCTAGAGCTGCCTGTTTCTCTGGAGAACATCAAACAGGAGACAGACGACTGAGCCGTCCCTGCCGCCAACCTGGCCACCTGGAAGCCAGATCAGGGCTCCTCTATTGGCACACCCTTCCACCCTTTTCTAGTTTGGAGACTGAGCCTTTTTGCATAAATTCAGCCTGGTGCTGAGGAACTGGCACTGAAGGACAAGCCAGGGTCTCCTTTGACCCACCCTGTGACCCCTGCCCTCTTTGGCAAGGTCTAGTGACTGATGAGTGGCTCCCTCTCCAGCTGGAGTTTCCGAAGCTTCCAGTGGCCTCCCTCCACACCCAGAATGCCCCTCAGCTGCCGGGGTGGAAGGCTGTCGTCCAACACACTGCAAGACAAGACAGTGAAGTGTGCGTGTGTGTGTGTGTGTGCATGCGCATGCCCAGGCAGGTCACATAAATAAAGGCTGCAGCAGCTCTTGAGGGGGACACAGTCACCTGATGGTGAGTGGTGTGATGGGTCCAAAAATTTAACCAAGTGGCCTATCTTGCCTCCTGGGTTGGTGCTCTGCTCCTAGCAGCCTAGGGGGGTTTGGGAACCCCATGCAGACACCCATCTCTGGCAGGCAGCTGACAAGCAGTGATCAGGATGTGGGCTTCAGTGGCTTGTGAGGTGGCCTTGACCTGTTTTCTCTGTTGGCATGAGCACTGACTCCCATTTCTGAAAGGAACAGTGGGACAGAGGTGGGGTCTGCTAGCTGTGTTGGGGGACTTGCAGGGGCCTAGCGAGGGGAAGACTATACCAGCCCGTGCCCCTTGGGGACGGTGATGGTGGGTGGGGCTGGGGAGCAGCAGGGGTAGCAGGTCTGGGAGGTGAGGTCGGCCAGTGTGATGGAGGCACCACCTGAGAGGGAGACTCTCTCAGTGTTGAGTTTAACCTGCTCCAGAGGCCAGCTTGGCTGGGGCCCATCCTTTTCACTGTCCTGTTATCCAGGGTCAGGTACAGCCCTGCCAGAGTCAAGGCCACAACAAGGGAGTGGCCAGCCCTGCTGGCTGAGGTGGCCCTGGAGGGCCTCCTGGACCACGGAGAAGAGGGGTAGCAGGATGCACTTCCTAACTCCCTCTCCTTCACGGTCCAAGCCCTTAACTCCATAACTTAGATTTCCCTGCTCCTCTGAAATTACATCCTAGTTCTCTTTGTGTTTGCCCAACTTACAGCTTTTGTTTTCCCAGTGAGTCTCCTTTGAAACTCTTTTCTGATCAATCCTGTCTCTTCATTAACTCCCCTTTCTGGAACCTAAGGCGCAAGCTGCAGTCCTTGGCCCTTTTCTGGCCTCAGATGTGGGTAGAGAACCGCACTACCAGGGGTTGGCCTCTAAGGCTGCAACTGTGCTGGCCTGGAGTCCAGCTGCCTTCTGAGCTGGTCAGTCAGGCTGCCCTGGCCTGTGCTTGCCACGGGGGGTGTCATCAGCTTGTTCAGGACCTGGGCTCTTTGGTGTCATCCCAGAGCTTGGGTGACCAGCCAAAGGGGAGCCTGTTTTCCGTCAGTTGGGAGAGAACTTGGTCTGGTCCCCTTTGCTCAAGACACTAGGCAGCTCCACATGGTGCAGAAATGAGGCCCAGAAAGCAGCCTTTTGGTGCAGCCTGAGTTCTCCAAAAAGGGACTAAATTTGGAACACAGTAAAGACCAAAAAGAGGGACAGGTCTCTCTTTCTCTTTCTCTCTCTCTCTCACTCTCTCTCTCACTCTCACTCTCACTCACACACACACACCAGACTTGGGTGGTGGCAGGCCAGTGGCATCAGCCCCCAGGGAGGAAGATGGCCTAGGTGGGCCTTCCTAGTAAAAATGACTCCCTTGCAACTAAAGGACCCAGTTCAGCCTGAAGAACTTCTGGGAAAACTGGGCTTGTAGAGCATGTTAGCCTTTGGTTCCTCTTGAATGAAAGAGGTGCCCACAGGTGCCATGAGCACAAAGGCCCCGAGGTTCCGATGGCAGAGTCGGAGGACCAGGTTAGCTGCCACTTGAGCCCTGGATCGGCCTCCCCAGACAGACAGTTAAATCCCTCCTGCACTGAAGCCCGGTTTGTCAGATTTCCGTCCCTTGCGGCAGCTGGGTTCTGATTTGCCACCTCACAGTAACAGTTACGAAGTGAATTCACGGGGCAGAGAGAAATGTCACCTGTCTCCATAGCAACCACACCTAGTCTCTTTATTTCTGCCGGACCCTGAGCTCCCCAAAGGCTTAGCCTGTGCCTTGTTGTCCTTCGTGCCCTCTGATGGGCCTGGCACAATGAGTGTATGACATGGAAGTGTATATAACTGTTGTGTTACTGGGGCCTAAAGGTCAATTTGATGTGTCGCAGATGCAGGTGTTGACCTCTGGGACCGTCCCACTCAATGCACAAAAAACCTGTGCCTCAGCTCTCCTGGAAGCCTCAGCAGTGGGCTGCTGGCCAGGAAGCTGCCTGAAGAGCCCTTCCCACTCCCTGCTCTGCTGCTGGACCTGCAGGGCTCCCAGGGCAGATAGACCAAATCCAAGTGCACCCCACACCTTTCCTGTCACCCAGGCCAGCCCCTTGGCCCTGCTCCAGGGACAGGAAAACAGTCTCACATGCTGAGCCCTGGTTACACACATTTATACAGCTAATTGCATCAGCACAGTAGGCCTGGGAGGTACAGGACTTCATTTTACAGATGAAAAGACTCGTTAAGGTCTAGTAACTTGGTTGCTTAAATTGACTACTTAAATGATGGCAGTGAGATTAAACCCTGGTTGATCGGCTGTGTTACTGCTGCTACTCTGGTTCATTCACTCACTTGACATTAAGCATCTTCCGTGTGCCGGATACCAAGCTAGAGGTCCGGCCTCGTGCCTTCAGCAAGGTCAGCACCCCACCCAGAACCTCCTGCCACAGCTCAGGACCCTTATCCTTCAATTCCTTTGTGTTCCTGAGAGAAAACTGCCACTTTCAACAAAATAAAAATGCAGAACCTAGAACTCCAGGGCTGGCCTTTGGTGAAATATCTGCAAGTTGGAAAGTGGCGGATGGTGTGGTCTGGTGTCCCCTTCCTGCAACAGCCAACACACTGTGTATGGTCGGGGGCTGAAGGTGGAACCATCAGATCTGCTCCGTGAGCTCCCCAGGCTGGCGCAGGGAGAGCCCTGGTGCTGGTTATCACCTGGGCCTGGCAGCAAGTCAGCGAGCACTCATGAGTATCAGCTGACATCCATACTGTCATCAACACTAGTTCCAGGTCTTGCTTCTAAGGCAGAACCACTCACCTTCAGCTTGGGGTCTTTTTAGGGGTTCCTTCCTCACTCCCAGCCTACCCCCACAAGGAACACTGTTAGGGGTTAAATTATGTCCCTCCAAAGAAGACATACCTCAGAGACCTTATTGAGAAACAGGAACTTCACAGAAGTAACCAAGTTACAGTGAGGCCATTGGGGTGGGCCCTAATCCAATATGACTGTTCTTACAAAGGGAATTTGGACACACAGGATGCAGTGAGATGATGTGAAGACGAGATACCAGAGGTTGCAGTTGTGCTGCCACAGGCAAGGAACACCTGGGGCCACCAGCAGCTGGAAGGGGCAAGAAGGACCCTCCCTTTGAGCTGTCAGAGGGAGTATGGCCCTGCCTTGATTTCAGCTCCTAACCTTGTGAGATAATGTACCCAGTTTGTGGTACTTTGTTCTGGCAGCCCTAGGGAACTACTGTGCCGCCTAATGGTTCCCGGCACCCCAAACCTTCAAAATGCTGCTCCTCTCCCCACCTTCCAGTGCCTCCTTGTTCTGTTCTCAGGGCTGGCTGCTCCCCTCTGGACCCCCCAGTGCCCTCGCCACACAGCATGGGCTCCCACATGGAGCAGCGCCCACATCCAGCTCACTCATCCCTGAGGTGCTGCGAGGTTTTGCTACAGCTCATCTTTCAAGTGTGAATGCGTTTGTCAGGACGGTGAACAGAACGTCAAGGGGGTGATGGACTGATGCCGAGTGGAGTCCAACCTGTGGCCGGGAAGCAGTGGAGGCGCCCGCACTGCTGTTCTGCTCTCCCAGGGGTGAGCCAGGCCCTGGAGGTCAGTGGGAAGGGTTGAGTCAACAGTGACCCGGTGATTCTGGTCACAGCGGGATTGGTTTCATGGACACGATGGGTCCAGCATGCTGAAAGGCCACTGTCCCCCAGGATGAAATAACATGAAGTAGCAAGTCCTTACAGGCCCACCCTGGGCACAGCCCGAGACAGGTGAGGAGGAAGGATGGGCATTACTGACGGAAAGCAGCGGGGTCACCTAGATCTAGAGCCACGTGAAGCTGGGACCAAGAGAGGTCAGAGCCCTGTTGCCTGGAAGCTTTGGAACCTGACCCACCCGCCGAGGCCTCCCTGCACCTGCCCTGTGGCCAACCTTGTCTGCTCCCTGCCGTCTTCCCTTCACGCGGGTCCTCCTGGCACTGGGTGTCCGCTTGGCCTTCCTGGCAGCCCAGCTCGGGCAGGCTTCGAAGACAGCAACTGCAGCCTTCACCCTCTGGCCACGGGCACTGGGAGGGGCGGCACAGGTGGCCCCCACGCGCAGGTTCAGCCCAGTGAGCCACCTAAGGAGAGAGTTTGGGGACCCCACAGTGCTGAGCTTTCCTGAGGAGAGGGCAGGGGTCTTCGGGAATTTGGGGCAATGGGGCCTAATGCTTAAGAATGGACTGGAGAATCCTGGTTCAGCCGCTCACCAGCTATGTGACCCTGAGCAAGTCACTTCCAACCTCACATCCCTTCTCTGTACCCAGAGGGTGGTGATCGTGATAAACAGAGGGCGATAACTGTTCAATCTACACACATAACTACTTCGATGGAATTCTTACCAAGCCACCTCCACGAGGTGGACACGATTACTACGACCCCCTTTACAGAAGAGGAACCAGCACAGAGGGGTCCTGTGGCCCGTCAGACCGTCAGGCAGACGGAGCTGGGTTTCACTCCAGGTCCTTGTTGCTTTCTCATGTATGTGAAGTGCCCACAAATACTGATTCGGCCCAGCCCCGCTGGGAGGGTGAGGGACTCGCGGCCAGAGGCGTCCACCCCAAGCTCATGCACACTGGTTCCCCCAGGAAGTATCGCTGGCCCTGGTAGGACCCTGCCCCCAAAAGCTGCTCGGCCGGGCAAGCATGGTGCCCTGGAGATACAGTGGGGGGTCCAGGTGGACGTGCTCACCTGTGAAGTGGGAGCAGTTGGCAGTCACAGTGGAAGGGATTGCCACTGAGGTCGACCAGCTCCAGCTGGCTGAGACCAGGCAGGGCAGGCAGGGCCTGCAGCTGGTTCTTCTGCAGGTGGAGGCTCTGCAGTTGGGGCCCCAGGCCCAAGAAGGCCCCAGGAGAAATCTGCAAGGAGGTGCCAGGCCACGGTGTGAGCTCCTGTCAGGCCAGAGAGGGTGGCCCATGCTCCCCTAGCAGAAGGGAAGTGGGGACCCTCAAGCAGAAAGGGCAGTGCTGGGGTGGAAACATAGGTTCGTCTGATGCCAAAGCACTTGCCCTCTGCAAGTCAGCTGGACCCCAGATCATGGTTCTTTCTGCTTTGCCTGAACTACACCCCCGCCCATAATGGCAAAGCCTGAGGGCTCCAGCCTTTCCCTCAAAGTGAACAACAGTAGGTGACCCTGTGGACCCACGTTCCTCCTCCTCTGTGCCCCAGCGTTACCTTCCCTGGCAGGCCTCTCTCTGTGGCACTGGATTCTCCTGCTGTCACCCACACCTGAGTTCCCTGGGGGCAGGCGTAGTCTGGCTTATCTAAGGGTCCCCATGCCCAGCCTTGGGCCTGCACTGCGAGGTTGGCAGTGTTTGTTGAGTGAATATTCGCTGCATAGGGCCATGCCGTCTCCCCAGCCCCACCCCTTGTGCCCACCTGCTCCAGGCCACTGTTATTCAGGAAGAGGTGCTGCAGTGACCGGCCCACAGGTCGGAAGGCCCCATCCCGCAGGGCCCTGAGTGGGTTCCCCGAGAGCTGCAGCTCCAGGAGGGCAGGCAGCCCCTCCAAGGCCCCAGTGGGCACCTCTCGCAGCTGGTTCCTGTCAAGGTGCAACTTCTCTAGGTCCGGGGCTGGGCTTAGTGCCCCAGGGGACACCTGGGTGATGCGGTTCCCACTCAGGTAGAGCCAGCGCAAAGCCTGCATGCCCCCCAGGTCCCCAGGTGCCAGGCGGTCCACAGAGTTATCCTGCAGGTGCAGGGAGAAGAGGCGGGGCAGGGCACGCAGGGCGGTCCCGGGCACCTGCAGGAAGCGGTTGCGCTCCAGGTACAGGTAGCCAAGGCGGGGGGCCCCTTCCAGGGCGGCAGCGCTGAGGCCGGAGAGCTGGTTGTCAGAGAGGTAGAGGTAGAGCAGGCTGCCCAGCCCAGCCAGGGCGCCCGCCTCCAGCTCCGCGACGCCGCAGCGCTGCAGGTGCAGCGACACCAGGTGGCCCAGGCCCGGGAAGGCCGCGCGCGGCACCACGGGGAAGCGGTTCTGCCGCAAGTCCAGGAGCTGGGTGTCGCTGGGGAAGCCGCGGGGCACCGCCTGCAGGCCGCGGCTCTCACAGCCGCTGTGCCGGGACTCGGGGG